ACTCTTTCCAAGGCAGAATAATTTCTTCAGGAATCTTACTGACCAAAAAATGACCTCCTGTTTTTCTTAAGCAATTAAAGTAAATCAGTAGAGTAGGCAAAGAGTTAAACATAAACTCCTCTTATTTCTGGAATGGGACAATGACTAATAGAAGCAGAACTATTTTTAAATATAGCTTTCAAAACAGCTATGGTCTTGCCTTTCTTTGGACAAAATCTGTGCACATTGCAATGGTTTGTGTTATTAATGAACACAAGGATTTTTCTTTGCCTCTGTAAAGACCACCGCTGTGTCATTTAAACACTTCCTTTTCAGAAACAATGCCATAGGAAATTTGCCTCTGCACACCGGTAACAGAAGTGAATTCTAAATATAGAGTCTTTTAAAGCTTTAAAACCTTACGTATTAACTCCTTCAGTATCATAACCAGTATCATAACCAACAAAGACCACATGCTGCAGGACTGACATGCAACAGCCAAAGAATCCAGACTTACTCCGTTATTTTTTATTGTATTTTTAAAAACTTATAACGCACCCATCCCATACTAACAACATAACTTCTAGCCTCACAGAAAGTGCTTTTCTTCCCATAAATCATGTTTAGAATTTTCGTATCACAGAACTATTGCACACTTACATGGGAATTTCCCCCATTTCTCTAAAAATTTCCCCCCAATTTCTCTAAAAAGGTTTTTATCATATTAAGATACAATGACATCACCTGCATTTAACTAGTTATAAATGATGAGTATCATCTTAAACTAGTTGCATAAAAAGGTCCTATCTTCCACATGGTGTTTGGCATTGTGAGTTTTGCTACAGATCACCACAATAGTGAGGATAAGTATGTCCCAAACACTCAGAACAGTGATTTTAGGATTGTTATATACTTCAGAAAAGAAAGTCAGGCTTATAGCATCTCCACATGTAAAGGGTACCCTACACATTCAACTACCTCACTTTGGGGTGGCTAGTGTTCCTGTGAAAAGGTGCTATTCAGAAGCTTTTTGTGCTGAAGGAAAAGTAGGATTGCTACAAGGAATGTGTAAGAAAGTAGTATGTAAGCCCTCCTTGATTTTGCTACACTCTATCTTCAATGTTCCAGTCTGTAAAAATGAGAATGGACAAGGCCAGACTTCCTCCAAGCAACCATCAACTGTTACGGGTGTTATTCCACAGAACACCTGAGCCTATCTAACAGCTTGCAGAAGTCAAGACCTCTTCTCCTTCTCCCTCCTTGCATTTAACATTCTGCCCCCCTCAACCAGGCTGTTCAACCCACTCTTTTGCACTGGCTCTGATAATCAGACCGATTCAGTTTGTCCACCAAGAAAGAATGTGTTGGTTTTTTTCTACTTACTCACATTATTTTTATGCTGGTTTAGTGAGTTCAATCGGCTCAGTGAATGGACTTGAGCAGAAGAGCTGGTATGAGAGAACTGAAAGTATGTACCTGGCCGCAGACCCAGCCACAAGCAGCAGCAGTGGACCTTTACTACAACTGCACTAATGAACTGTACTTTCTGAAACTCATTAAACATTTCATAACATTCTCATGATAAAACAAGGTATTTCCAGAAAGATCACTAGGATCTTGGATTTTAAGCTTTCATCTTCTTTTAATTCTCTTACTCTTGAAGTTTAAGCATGCAGAAAGTGTGTACAAGTTCTTTGAGATGAGCTGCAGAGCCAGAGCATTTCTACAGAAACATATCAACATCTATGTACTAGGAAACTCAAAAGCTCAGCCAGGAAAAAAATTTAAAACCTCCATAAAATCCAGTTCTTTGGAAGCCATCCTTTGGCAATTCTTTGGCCAATGCAAACCTGGAGTCAAACACGATTACTGCCCCCAACTACAAAGCCAATTAGCAATAAGGATTTCCTAGTGGCAAAATGGAAAGATGAAGACAAGTTGTGGGGTTTGTTTGTTTCTTTGTGGTTTTGATTTTTGGGGGGTTGGGGGTTTTTTGGTTTGGTTTTGGTTTTTTGGTGTTTTTTTAAGGAAAGAGAAAAGTATCACCGCGCAGGTTTCCTTCTGTAATGGAACTGTGGAATTTGTTTTCAAGAGACATAACTCACAGGACTAACACGTCATCAATGACATGTTTCAACATTACTTTTCTAGGACTGTATGTCAACAACTCACATTTTTCACGAGTTCAAACCAGCCACTACTTCGAGCACAGCCTCAACCTCCTCATAGCTTGAAATCATACTTAGCTCTTTGAATATCTGAAATACGCAATCCATTTGCTACAGGTGAAAGCAAGGAAACAGATTTTTAAATTGTTTCATAAGACAACTTCCTAGCAGCAGATGCAGAAGAGCATTTCAGGAACATACATGAAAGATTACCTTTTAGACGCAGTAAAACTACACCTCCAGTGCCTATCACGAATAGAAGTCAGCAGGCATTTAGAAACTAGATGTCCCAAGACATGACACATGCTACGATGCTTAGTATCCCACACGCAGAAATTGTACAACACACCTGAATAAAGCGCAGTGTTCTGTCACTTAATACCTAAGCAGCCTGGGGGAGATGACCCGCACGAGTGCCCATCGATGAAAACCCACCCATTAAAGCACTTGTCCAAGAACAAGGAGAACCCGGAAGTGTGAAAGCCTTCAAACTTCTCATCTCCTAATTAATGGTATGACTGAAGTACTGAACATCTTGACTCTTCTGCTGAAGCTGAAATACAGATTGAAAGGGCCAGATATTCCAGAGGTGTATGGCCTGACATGACGGCAATACTCTCCAAACAAATGTACGTTCCACAGCTTGTTCCCAGCACTGTTTATATACAAAGACTCTTTCAAGAAAACACATTGTATAGGATCACAAGTACAACTATAAAATTCTTTCTAGGAGCACTGAATAGTTGTTATTAGTAGTAAATTAATTGTAGTAAATTAGTAAATAGTAAATAGTAAATAAATTGATTAATATTGATACATTAAATATAAAACTTACAGCTGTATGCTGTATACCTGCAAGATGCAAAGCATATTGTGCTTCTGTTTTCAGACACGTATCTCAGGGGGCAGGAGTCACTGCTTTCTTTTTGAAAGGCTGAGTTTTACGTAATACAAACACTTAGCTTTTTTCTTTTCATACACCCTGAAACATATACAGTTACAGTAGCAGCAATGTATGAAATACACAGCATTTTAATGCTGTTAAGTACCACAGATAAGAAACATCCAAATGACCTTGTACGGAAAAAAGCAATACAAACAAAACCTCAGAATTTTAAACAATCCAACACCCTTGTACAAACCAGTGCACTCCAACTGTGACAAAATGCCTACATAAAGACATTTTTCTGCTATAGAGAGATCAGCAAGCATTTAATTAGGTGATCGAACAGGAATTGAGATCCGTTCAGTATTTCCCTAACGAGTTATCTAATAGTCTAAATAGAAACTTCTTTATAAACAGGATATACATAATAAAATTTACAACAGCCCCTCTTGGATTGCACAGTGTGCTGTAGGATCCAAACGCCTTCCAGAACTGGGCTTCGAGGGGAACAATGTAGAGCTGAAGGCTGAATAGACAGTCTTTTCTCATGGAGATGCAAAACATCCTGTGGCAATCCTTACTACCTCTGTTCTCCCTTATGTCTACTTTTATAGGAGTATTTGGCCAATGAAACCATCTGTAGAATAAAACCAGAGTATGTAGACAACATCTAAGGGTTTTGACCTATGGATCATCATTACTCACGTAACAAAGCATACTGTAGGACTGGACTCCTGGTTTTCCCCATCAGTTTGGCTAAAAGAAATCTGGTAAAACTAGAACTCAGAGAAGCTGAATGAAATTTCATGAACAGCTGTAATAAAACAGAATCTGCCATATTTTTCTAAAGACAAAGCTAATTTTTAAGTCCTTCACAAGTTGTCTATTCTTCTCAATAATATCAGAAAAAAGTAATTGTAGCTATCTGATAGGGATTTTCTTTTTTGAAGGCACCCTAACTGATCCAACATCTTTTTGTCTTCGGATTGAAGGACCTTCAGTTACACAGGAAAATACTTCCAAGTTACAGGTAATGTAGAAAGCTGATGGGTTTTATAGTACTAAATTCAAGTGTGGCACATTTTGAGCTCCTTTCACCTGGCTGCCTAGCTATCATGTACAGGACCTAGGAAAACAAAGCTAGGGTAAAAAAAAGTGTTTTTTGAAAAAATATGCAGATAGAAGTATTGGTTTCCAGTTTCTTTTAAGATATAATTTAAGTTACTGATTACAAATGACAGACTCATAACCTGCATGCCCTTGTCAGAGAAAAGGGCACTCATCAAATAAAAGTCATATACAAATGTGCTTGCACTAAAGTAAAAAGGACATCTGTCAATAGCAATAATATACAAATGACTGGAATTCGGGAAAAGCTGAAAACTCTGTTTTTCCATATTAGGATAAGTAGTGTTTAATTAGAAGTGTTTAGTGCACAGAATAACAAGTGTTTAGGGAGTATCTGATGAATGCATTTTATGTATTGCTAATCAAGTATTTCCCAGTTTTGTAGATACAAGCAAGGCACATATGACAATGTAACCCACTAAAATACACTTTCATTAGGAAAGAACAAATAAATCCAATTCTAAATTCTGGTAAAATTTGCTACAAAAATTACACTTCCAAGCCTGAAGCAATGACACTACCTTTTAAACTTGACTAACAAACTTTGATACAGCATTAATATCTGATTAATTAATATTTTAAGCATATTTATTCTAACACATAAATTTATAATCACACAATATTATATTTTGAATATTATTTTTAATACTCTTCATCCTCCATATACTAATTAATCTTTAATATTCATAACAGACCATTTTTCAGGACCAGAGACCGTAGCAGTGAGCGAAGTAAATACTTTAAGATCTTTATTTGCTGCTTCACTGATTTTGGTGTTTGGGTTTTTTTTTTTTTTCTTTGCTTCTCTCTTCAAGATTGGCTATTGTGATTAAGAAGATATGAAAGAATACACACTCCTCTTCTTCCTGGCTTTGTGCTCTGCCAAACCTCTCATCAGTCCTTCATATTTTACACTAAAGAATGTGATGCTCCAAGATATGGAAGAAGATGGTGATGACAATTCCCTATTTCCAACCACAGAACCAATTAGACCACTAATTCCTTTTGATCTCTTCCCAATATGCCCCTTTGGATGCCAGTGCTATGTGAGAGTTGTCCACTGCTCTGACCTAGGTAAGAAAGAATTTGTGTGCCTGTTCTCCAGTGGTCTCTCCATTGGAGGATTTGCCCTTTAAAAGATTAATTCTACAGCCCCATAAATTGCACACATTCACATAATCCTGTACCAGTCTTTTTCAACAGGAGCTTATCTTTTTTCAATTAGGCTTGCAAACCATATCTAATTCATGTCCAACACTTCTTACAACATGTTTTCCCAGTTTAGGTGCACCAGCTTAGAAAATTAATAAAATTCTATAGTTACCTTCCATTAGCAATGACTTTACTAATAACAGCATAGAATGGAAAGACATTTAGAACATGTAACAAATAACTAAAACTATTTAACGGAATACTTATTGGGGTTAATAAGTACATATAACCTGCACAGCTTTTTATCTACTAAGACAACAATCACATAATATGAAAATGCTTATGTATATGGTTTAGATTACCTTCTCCTGTTTCATTTACTTGCATGAAGTTATATACAGAGATGCACAAAAGTTTGCTATACCTTCTATTTGCATTAGACAAGCTATTAGTCCCCTCTCTCAAAAAAAGCCTATAGCTAAAGAAGTGCTCCATTCACAGCTACAAAGCAACAGGTCAAATGACAGGAAAACAACGGAAAAAGTGGCCATAAATAAACCAAAGCAAGCACATAAATGGGATACAAACTACGTGTTCAGCTTAACTTCCATTAAAGTACACATCGCTGGTAACATCTGAACCAAGGGCAAATCTGCTACTGTCACTGTTGCAGATATATGCTAGGCCCTAAATATGAATTCATTATTACTTGTGAAAATTTGAATTAATTTTCATTGAAGATTTCCCATGATTCAAGGAAACCATGGCTACAGCCACTAGCACAGTGACAATGACATTTGTTCTGATCACAGCTCTGCCACCATCCTAAGCTTAATCCTAGACATGTCCTAGAAACATTGAGTCAATCTATAAATTGCTGTGTTTTTTAAAAACAATGTGTCATTTTTCACAGAATCACTAAGGTTGGGAAAGACCTATCAGATCATCCAGTCCAACCATCAAGCCAACACTACCATACCCACTAGATCACGTCCTCAAGTGCCACATCTACATGCTCCTTAAACACCTCCAGGGATGGCGACTCCACCACTTCCCTGGACAGCCTTTTTCCATGCCTGACAACCCTTTCAGTGAAGAAGTATTCCCTAATATCTAATCTAAACCTCCCCTGACACAATTTGAGGCCATTTTAAGAAATCAGAATAAACTTTTGCTGTCAGCAATAAGCTCTGGCTATTGTGTCTGGTTCAGAGAATGCAAACCTCCTTACTTGAGTTCACACAGAAAAATCCCTAGTAACAGACTTCATCTTTAAATAACTGTAAACTACTAATTATGGAATAATGGTTAATAAACTGGACCAGCATTTAGCATTGGAGGCATCAGCATTTCCACTGAAAAGACAGTTGCTATGCCCTCCTAGTCTCTTACGTTAATTTAGGATCACAGATGGCATGAACTGAAGTGGTTTTGCAACAGAACAAATAACAGGATTGGGGAATTTGTACAACTGCTAATTAAGAACTGGCAGCCGGGAAACCGTCTTTTGTCCACTTTCACCAAGGATACATTTCTCAGCCCTGGTGGTAACTGCATGGCTAGATGAGCAACCATGCCAGTAGAGTGGATAGGGCAGTGCAGAGGCAGAAAGCAGCATTCCAGCACTGAGCAGAAACCCCTTAAAGCCACTGCAACAGCCCTGTTCCTAAATACAGAACTACAGCCCCAGATCCCCCGAGGGCTGCCTTCTCCAGGGACTTAGGCAGTTTTCCTGTAAAACCACTGGTGCTCTAAGGCTGCTGATTTCACGGGTGCAAAGAACCTGCAGTGAGCACCCCATTCAAGCTTTTCATGGTGAGGGGTAGAAGTAGCTCCTCCTGAAACTATACACACAGTTTTGTCATACATTCTCACATAAGTAATTCCTCTCATCATCCAATATTTCCTTCTATCCTTTGCTTTATGGCTGTTCGTATTTCCTTTGCGATCATAATCGTCAACACTCTCACTGTGCTTTGCTGTTTAGCAGTTAATTTCTTTGGACTTGTAAACAGGTCCGTAATGCTTGTTTCTCTCACATGCTTAAATAGGTTTGACATCAATACCTCGCAACATTCCACCAGACACTCGTATGATTGACCTTCAAAACAACAAAATTAAAGAGGTCAAGGAAAACGATCTCCAAGGACTCACATCGCTTTATGTAAGCTTGATATTTTCCAAGTTTGAAATCTTATTTAGCAATCCGAAATACTGTGATACTTTTAAAATACAAATGGTGTTTTTCTTCTCCAATAGTATCCATAAAACCAGAGCCTAACGCCTGCATATTTGACTGCTCCCACAAAGTAAGAAGCAAATTTCTTTGAACTGTAAGAACTACTCTACTTTCTACAACATCCACCAAGTGTACGCTATGCATCTCACAAAAAGATCCTCAAGATTTACTCAGCCCTTAGCATGCACAGAAACCTTTTCAAGGCAGCAAGAAAAGTGCTTTTTTATCTCTTTAGCTGTAAAATGGCAGAAAGAACTTAAGCTGACAGGAGAACTAGAACAGTATTTTCTGAGGGTATTTTCAAAAGGACACAGCACACAGCTAACACGTACACCACTGAATCTAATGTTACAGATCCAACTGACCTGAAGAGAAAACAGAGCAACACTGAATTACTGATAAAGTCAGGTACTTTACTACTGTTGAATGCAGAGACAGGCTTTCAAACAAGTATCACTGACAACTGATAAATCTAGATATTTACAGTACACAATTATCCCTTTTATAACGAAAGCAAATAAGAGCGTCTCAGAGGCCTGGACAGGTAGATTAAATCTGTTAGGAATATTTATTTCCATACGATGTCACTCTAGATCCAGTGCCAATATATACTGACTGTTTAAAATTTTCATTGTAAAAGTGAGAAATCTGTTCCACAAGTTATACCAAATGAAGGACCTTCTATTCCACATTAGAAAGACATGAAACACACATTATACTAACATAAAATAAATCATTTTCAGTCGCATTTGGTTTCTTAACAAGAATTGAAAATTTATCAGATCTAAGTGTCTATCAATGAGCTTGTTAATTATTATAGGTTAAGCTAGGATAGAAAAAATAAGGACCATATACATTCATTGTTTGCAACAAAGAGTTTCCAATTCCCTTTACATGCCTCATGTCTGGGTATGGAATGGTATTACCAGCAAGTTATAGGTAAACACACTAACTGTGGTTTACTTTCAGTATAAAAGATCCTACAGAAACTAACCTCCCATGACGGAGCAAGTCATTGGAATACATCAGCCATCACCACATTATACATTAGAGTCACCCCTTAATCATGTGATAACTGAAAACTCTCTGCTGTTTTGATTTTTCTCATCAGTTCATTTGTGGAAGGGCCTAACAAAATCTTTACTGAAAGCAAAGTTTACTTTGTACAACTTGTCTGAGTACTAGTACTTAGCAAAGGCACAGATGGCAACTTGGATTAGGAAGGAGCATTTCCTGTTTATTTCCTTAAGCTATCCCATCTTTTCGGGGAAAAAAAGATTAATTTTGTTTTGCTCTACTTTTTTTTCCCACAACTGCAGACAGCAGATGACTCACCAACAGCTCAAAGAAGTAAAAAAGGAACAGAAAGTAACACTCTAGACATGGAAATGCAGAGATGTGATTTGACAGGCAAAATAACTTCAGATAACTCATATGTTGTTGTTTGTAGTAACTCATTGCAAGTTCTCTGATAACACAGAGTAACCAAGAACAAAACACTGTCCCAAACAAGGACTAGTGTACTGTACAGAAGAGAGAGGCTTAAATTGACAGGAGTTGAAGAATTACAGCAAATAAGATATAAGTTAATGTATGTATATATCAGTATATTAAGAAATTCAGATTAAAATCCTGACTTTTATTTTGCAGCATTATGCTGAACTAAAAGATAATATTCTGAGTTTTGAGAATTTGTCTGCATTAAGGAACAATAACAAAAAAGAATATAACCTCCATTCAGTTCCACAAAATATATGAAGACAAGCATATTGTTTTGCCAATCCTTCTCATTACCCACTGGCACCTTGTCAGCTCTGACACATTTTTTCTCTACCTCCCAGCTGATGATCCAGCTTCCAGGTTCTTTTTTGTTTTTCACAATCAACTGAAATTTCCAAAGTATATAGAAAGTGCTAACATTTGGTATGACGGAACATAATTCAAATACTTAATTGTAAAATTACACACCGAATTCATGATCATGACATTCCTGTATAAAGATACTTTCTTTGCATTGCTCTTCCCATATCTCATAGGCACTGGCTTTGAACAACAACAAAATATCCAAGATCCATCCAAAAGCCTTTCAATCAACAAAGAAGCTACGGCGACTGTATTTGTCCCATAACCAGCTAACTGAGATTCCAACAAACCTACCCAAAACTTTAGTAGAGCTCAGAATTCATGCTAATAAGGTTAAGAAGATCCACAAGGATGCATTTAAAGGAATGAAGTCTCTGCATGTTTTAGGTAAGACCAATTAAGTAGATCGTTACGAAAGATGTAACATACTGTACATAATTTTCATTCAAACATCTCCCCAATGTGCAATTTCCTCTTAAAGAGATATCCATGCTGTAGAAACTTTCACAGTTTGATTTCATTGTGGAGTTGCTACATCGGGAAAGCTTCTGACAACACTACAAGCCAAATTAGACAGGCTTTATTCACTGAAAGCTGTGACTTCTACCCCCCAAAACAGGTCATCAAAGCTAACCATTCATTAATGTTTAGAACATAAGAAGTCATAAATAAAATGCAATGAGCTGTTTATAATTGAGTCTAACATACACAAAACTCCTATGTCATAAATACCTCTATTTTTTTTTCCCTTGGACAGAAATGAGTGCAAATCCTCTTAATAATGATGGAATTGAGCCAGGGGCTTTTGAAGGAGTAAATATTTATCATATAAGAATTGCAGAAGCTAAATTAACTTCAATTCCTAAAGGTATGCTTTGTTTTACCTTTTCTATTGCACCTATACCAGCGTACTCCTAAATAAAATGCTTTAACATCTATATGATTATTAACATGTTCATAAATTCTGTTTTGTACTATTAATTACTACCAAACCACTTCTTACCTTATTTTTCTTTTTGCACTTACAAAGGCTCACTATCCAGCCCCTTCTGCCCTCTCCCCATCAGGCAGTCCGCTCCTCAGAGTCATCCACAGACTCTTCTCGGGAGACACAATGTGAAGAAAACGATAATAAGACACCACAACTTTCACATCAGCCTCTCAAAAGTCCTTACAAAGAAAGGATAAACACCCTGACATTTGGTCTAGGTCAGAAGGGATACAGAATTCCCAATTCCTTAATGCATTTAAAATGAAACCCCAAAATGTCTAGCTTTAACTTTGAATGTTTCAAGCAATTCTGTAGCTCAAATATGCTCTGCAATATAACGTCCTGAAAGCACAATCTAGTACAGCAGTTTATACATCGTTTCATAGAGGCTTGCTAAGTGAAACAATATTATTTTAATTACATTCAACATAACATACTACAAAATTAAATCACTCATTCATATAAAAAATTAACTGTGATTTGGAGGTAGTAGTAAATTAAAACAATAGCGTTAGCAATCACTGACCTACACACATAATAGTAGCATGAAGGATCTACCTGCATTTTCTGTAGGTTGTAATGTTATTTAACCTAATTCTCATGATTTTCACCCGCCCCAAACCACTAGCTAAGAGAAAAAGGGAAGAAACAAAGCATATCATATGTTTTATCATTCATTAACTTACAGGGAAACTAAATGTTGGCCCTCAAGATATTTATTTCTGGATCATTCAGCTAAAGAACTTGTTTCTTACTAAATTTAATCTCTCCTTGTAGACAGATATATGCAAAAGCATTCCTGTAGAAGAGAACACCAAAAAAACAACCAAAACCAACAGACCCCAATTGTTAAGGTAATTTTAATATCAGAAACCAGCTGGCTGACTATGGTAACACACACAAAAAAATACATTCTTCTGTTATTATCATAGTACCATCTCCTATCACTTATCACAAAAAAGCTTACATCAAATTATGCAGATTTTCTTTGTTATAGAGAAATCTATAAGGAAACACAGCATGAGGTCCAATACGTGGTGTCCAATACATAAACAAACAGGATTTCATGGTGAACACATTCTACACAAATAGAAACTAAGTTTGTAGATCCTTCTATCAGCAAATGTTATAATGACACAAAAAGATTAAAAAAAAAAGTAACTTACAGAATGCAGTTAAAATCTGATATGGAGAGATGGGAAGTTTTCCCTCTTAATAGTCTAAGTCAAATACAAGCAGCACCCTGGGGAATAGTAAACCAGAATGGAAACTGGGAAAAAGCCCAAACAAACACCAAAGCATGTCAAGGGGCACAAAGACAGGCTGTAAAGCAAAACACTTCAGTGCTGTAATGCTACACCAAACAGCAACAGGAGCAGTGCTCTCCCAAACCATATTAGTAACAAACACGCAGTTTGTCTTGCTTAGTGTCAGGGTGCCATCTAGACAGATGCTAGCAAAACTGAACATAAGATCAGCAAACAGAAATTCAACTTGTGGCCATCTTTCTCTGCCTTCACTAAAGGGATACTGTGAAAAAGCTTCTCCACCTCCTGGTCCATTCACTGACAGTCCTGAGCTGCAACTGTTTGGTAGCACAGGAGAAAACACTGCGTACCTACACGTGAAAGAGCGTACCAACCAGCTCATTTGGCTGAGGGAACTCCGAAAGCTTTCCTCCCAGATCCCATCTTAGGAGCTATAAAAGCGTCAGTTATAGCATGTTCAGGAAAACACATAGCTACAAAAGGTTGTCACTTGGCTCCACAGGCGTAGGATTTTGACTGCCAGCTCTTACATAATTACACATAATGTACATAATGTACATCTTTAACAGGTTAACCCAAAGTACATGAAAGTGAGCAAAACTGTGCTGAATTTTGGAACCCCAAAAATTTAACATACACACTTCCACATCTTAATTTTTGTTTTAAAGACACTATTTTAAACCAAATAATGTTGATTTTTTTAAAGTAACATACTTGTATCTAATACCCATTTCTGTGAAGCAGACAACCACCCCCAAGATTCTTCACCTAATCCTAAACACAAAGGCAAGAAGCTGTTTGGAACATAAAATTCCAACAAAAATAACTTGGCTTATTTTTTTCATACCATGCATTCGTTTTTCCTCAGAATTGCCCACCAGCCTGCTAGAACTTCATTTAGACGACAATAAGATCACAGCAATTGAACTTGAAGATTTTAACCGGTATAAAGATCTTCAAAGGTAAAATTCCCACACAGAATGGTTTTATTTGATAAAAAAGTCAGACCTGTCAGGATCTCGTTTGATATTTCCCTCGTTAATGGGAGGAAAGAGAATTAAAAAAATTAAGTGTTTTAATAATATCTGCTGTATATAAGACGAAACTTTAAAAAAACAAAACCAAACCAAACCCCACACACAAACCACCACCAAATACTAGCCTTATTACATGTCTTGCCTACATTCACAATACAAGTGTACATTAAGAACAGCATCTCATTACAACACGTAATCATCATAATTCTTACGTCACGGCCCCTGGGCGTTGTGCAGTACAGCATGGTTTTAGATAAAGTCTCTTAATGTACTAGTAGCAATATGCCTCAATTAAGCACTGCACGTATTTCTTAAACTCAGGTCATATGAACCTTTGTGGTCACATTATCATCCGAGTTCAGTGATTTTCTCTAGCCTCTTCCCTGTCAGGCCCAAGCACTTTAACGCCTTCATCGCCCATCTCACAAGTCACACCTCAAAATGAGGTATACAGCAACAGATTGGTGGTTTAGGAACAGAATACCTTTCTTGTAACTAAATGTATAGGATAAAGATTCAGCTTTATATTCCAGAGGAGACCTGTGTGTATTGGAAGGAGACACTCCATGCACACTCCAATTAAAAATATAAAATGATGGGGCAAAAAAGGAAATTTGAGACTCTCTCATACAAATGCATGGGAAAACTGGTAAATTATAGAGACGATAAACTCATGTCCTGAAAACTGGCCCAAGAGAAATACAGTAGCTGGTCAGGGAAACAACTCGATAACTGTTTCCAAACATGATGGGGTTTAAGAAAACATGTCTGTTTCTGAGGAATGGATCACTGATGTAGGAGAAGAGAAGTAGTTCTTTCTGTAAAGCTCAGTTAAGAACTCTGAAACTACATCTGAGCAGCACTGAATTTTGGATTTGGTAATAGAAACTACTATCGAAGAGGAACTACTGACGTGCATATAGATACCAACTTCAGTTTCTGAAGCAATTAAGAAAGAAAGGAGAAAAGGAGGATTGCAGGATGTGTGGAAAGAGCAACCCCAAACTGACCTGTGTCTCCACCTCCTGAATCATCTTCCTGGCAACACAGGCTGAAGTCTCATGGCAAAAAAACTGAGGCCTAAATTAAGGAAAGTGTGGAAGTAGGAAAGAAGGCAGCCCTGCTTATTTAAAAAAAATGAAGTTTTTGACTGATATATATATAACTGTTTCTTTGCAGGACTAGCTCTTCTTTGGCTATTTATTAGAACACTTTTTAGTACTGTGAGCATACTCTGTAGCTATACTACTTGATAGGGGCTTGATTTATTTACAAGCAGACTGGTTGATGTTTATCATTTTAACACTTGCCATTAAAAGAAGAAAACATGCATGCAAAACTGGACAATTGCTCACATCATTCTAGCTGCTGTCCTTGAAGCTGAGATTAAGGAGAAAAAATGTTTTTTAGAACAATAGTGGTTTTTTTCTATCAGAGGTAATATTTCATCATCTTTCCCCAGTTCTTTTTTTCCCTCTTTTTGCTCTTCAATGCTGTTGTGACTCCCAATTAATCTTTAATTAAATGTTCCTTGTGCTATTTCTAGGCTAGGCCTGGGGAATAATAAAATCAAAGATGTGGAGAATGGAAGTTTTGCCAACATACCAGGCATACGTGAAATCCATCTCGAGAAAAATAAGCTCAAGAAAGTTCCTCCTGGATTACCTGAACTGAAGTATCTGCAGGTCATAGACTAAACCTAATAGAAAGCTCTGATAGTTATGAGTAGTTAGACTTTCATACTGCCGGACTGATTACAACACAGTTAAAAAGCATAATTAACTGTCATATATATTTTGACATGACTCTCATACTAGGAAAACTGAAATCACATATGTACTTAAAGAAATAAACAAGATCAAACAGCAGGAACACTTCCTAGGGAGAAGGAAAGAACCAAAACAAACCAGTCCACAGGAAAACAGCATGCTACACCCAGCAAATGTTCTCAGAATGTTTGTTATAGATTTATTACAACTTCCATATTAGCAAGTCGGAGTGGAAATTTCTCCATTCCCACTCTGAAAAGCCTTAAATCCAAAGAAAATTGTTTATGAGGCTGAAATAATAAGATTTTTAAATTTATATTTAGAATTAGATAAACTCTGCAGTAAAACACTTTCAAAACACATTTATTTCTGGAACAGCAATTAGAACCAAAGATGTTTTATAAGATGACGTACCTTAGGATATAGAGCAGAACAAAGCTTGGGGAGACAAGAAGAAATGCATAGATGACAGAGCACATGATAAACTAATTTGGTAAAAGCTTTTACTATTTTAAGCTGCCTCAACATTACACTGATCTGTTCCTAAATCTATACTAACAAATCTCTCCTAATATCAACTTTTCTAGAGACTATTTTTAAGAATTTATTAAATCACTGAAAATTTACATTGCAAGATAATAAAATAGCCCATCATTCTAATTCTTACTGTAAGAGAACATAAACTTGCATTTTAGGAGAATGTTCCACAAGAAGAGAGTCAAATTATTCTCACAACCCACTGATAAAATACCTTTTTTTTGGTTTTGTGGGAGAGTCTGTGGCAGGAGGAAGAAATTTTTTAAAGATCTCACACAAATTTTTAATTCCCGTTACTATTATGTCTTGAATGTTTAGCTATTTTTCCCATTTACATACTAACTACTATATTTTCCTGTTTATTACTGCAGGTAGTCTTCCTTCATTCTAATCACATTGCAAAACTGGGCGTGAATGACTTCTGCCCCACAGGAGGAAGAAAGAAGAAAGCGTTATACAGTGGCATAAGCCTCTTCAATAACCCTGTAAAGTACTGGGAGGTTCAGCCTTCGACTTTCCGTTGCATTTTAGCCAGAAACAGTGTGCAACTTGGAAATTTCCTCAAGTGATACCAAGGTTGGTCATTTCAAAAAGCAACCTCTCCAATCAGTTCTACAATACTTGAAACTTGCAGAAAAATGCCAATTTTTCACTATTTAACCAGTTTACAGTATTTACTATTTGAGAGATAATTAATTAGAAACACTATGCTAGTAGGATCCATTGTATTATTTGACAATGTTCAGCCTACATTTGAATAATTTAACAATAGCCTTTATATCTTATGGAAGGACTCTTGGAAGTGGAACTGGAAACTCTGTTTGATGTTTCCTATTATAGATGTTAAATCCTTTACTTAAATCACATAGTTTTGACATACTCTTTCGAATAAGTTCTAAAACTCAAGTGGAAGCAACTTCTTCCACAGTAAGGAACTTTCCCTCTGCCAAAAACTGTTGTAAGAAAAGTTGCAAAAAAAATTATCAGACTTCAAGGACAACTTCTTGTGTCATTTTTGATATTCAGAAAAGATGCAATAAAAAGGTACCGTACTGGGACGTCTTTTCTCTCTAAACCAAAACATATTTTTATAATCTATTAAGTGAGATAAAGGTGGGTTTCATACCAAGAACTCACACATAAAAAACCTTTAAAAATTTTTGGTATTCTTTCCTTGCAACTTTAAGAGGGAAATGTTCTTCAGTGGTTTGCTATCAATATAATTGATGGACTCTGAATATTGAGTACAACTCAAGATTTATCATATGCTTCAAGCTTAATAGGAATGATTATTAAACTCCCTTTAGGCCGGCACAAACATTTTCTTTTATCTATAACAATTGTCATGTTTTTCATTTAAGTTTTTCCTCTTATATTTTGACATCACACGGGTTAAGAATCCCTCATTAATATAAGTACCTTAAAACTGCTGAATGCAAGCAGACAGCTGGAACTCAACTGCCCTGACTTATTTCATAGGTCAGCACACAGAATTCTCAATACCGACAGTACTGTAGAAAATGGATATTTTAGATATCTATTTAGTGTATATTTGCTATTGGGATTCAAAAATAAATTAAATAAACTTAGAGAACATGTGCATTTGTGTACTTGATTACCTGATAAGTCATGTCAAAACATTCAGAGGTTATAACCAAAGACCTTTCTGACTCTTCTCTAGATATTTTCTCTTTTCTTCCTTTTTCCAAATCCAGACACTTTGTGGATCATTTATCACTGCTGTTCCTCACAAACTTAAAAAATTCAACACTTCATTTGAAGCAACTATGGGAAATGACACAGACTACTAGTAGGAGAAAATAATACCTATAAATGGAGCCATTTCCAACCTCTCAGCCTGTCTGCCACCTCCCTCAGCACACTAAGCAACAAGTGTCAAGCCTAACATCTGACTTTTTTTTAACATCTGCTTTGTCTCTTTGTATTTAACATTTTGTTAGCAGCACTATGCTGTTGAGACCCACACCACATGGGGAGAGGAGGGAGAGTGGGCCAGGGCAGGACTTAACAAAGAACAGTTTCTGCAAACAGAAATTCTGTAAAACACTTCAAGGCAGAATAAAAACAAACCACAAAAAACCCCAAACAAATTTGTAGAGCACCAAGCATCTTTCTATTCCTGGCTTCTGAAGATGTCTCTAAGGAGTGCATTTCCCAGCAAATAACATGGGGAAAGCAGCGATCAGTACTGAAAATAGTATATTCTTCATCAGTTGGTCTAGTTTATGTCATGGATTTCTTTAGCCATACCTGTGTCATCATGTGTGAAGAGATATGATCTCTATACACAGACAGGTGTTAGGAGACAAGCCTGATGTGTAATTACAGAAGAAACAGCAGTACCTTCAGTGGATTTTTCCACTAGGAAATTAGTTACTACACTCACAGGAAACAGAACTGGTGATGAACAGTTCACACAGGGAATGCACACCAGCTTCTACTGCAGCTCTGCATTCCTAGTGAAGACACAGCCTGAGCTCTCTCTACACTGCACTTTAAATAAATTCAACAGTAACAAATCTGACAAGGCTACAGAGGGAAACTGCCAGGTCTAAGCCACCTCTGCATGATTTATGTGAAGCATGGAAGAACTTTGAAAAGAGCAAGAGAAGAACCATGTAACTGAGAATGAAACAGCCTACTTACATAAAGAGTATTGTTCACACAGGGTAGTCATTTACCCTAGAGTAACTCATCATCACACAAACTCTTTACATTCATACTCCATCAGAAGCACCTACTACTTCATGGTAAATGGCCCAAGTGCACATTCAGACCCTCTGGGAAATACCAGCCTTCCCTTAATGATAGGCTACCCTGCCTTACATTACCAGAAACAGCTCATAACCCCATACCAGAGAGACAAAGCACTGCCAGTAACAATTAACTGTACAAGAAGAAAGTGAAGATGTGAAATAAATGCCCATTCTTTTCTAGTAACAGCTAAAAACCTGAAGTCCTTAATGTTCCACAAAAGGTTCACTGCTTATAGAGTGACCAGAGCGTAATCAAAAGCCAAAAAAGATTTGAGGGATGGCCAGTGAAAAAGAGTGGTCAAGTAGCAACTTAAGGGCAAAAAGAAGTTCAAGTACTAAAAAAGGTTAAGAATAAAAACCAAGGAAAATTTCCAAATTTACCTACTTTGTAGAACACTAAGTTAACAGTTTTCACACCAAGTAAGTGGGATAAAGGTGGACTTCAGTCGAATCTTCAGTTGAAAGCACAAAGAGCAAGTACAATGCTATTAGAAAGAATCAAATCTATAACAGAAAAATCATTACATTTGTATGAATCATTAGCTTAAATGTATTCTTAAACACTCATGCTATACTAGTTGCACCAATTCAGCAATGACAACATAATTCAAATTCTACAGCTTAAAGAAAAGAATAAACTCACAGCATAATGCAGTACATTATTCTATGCTAATTTAGTGGTAAGGATTAAAAGGAAACATAACAGTGAAAGCAAACGATTCCTTATCTAATTGAAGCTTATGCAGTGGACAACAGGAATGCTGCATCTGCCAAGACTAAGACATTGAAGAAGATGAAGTAAGGTCTGAACAAGTGTAGAACAACTTTTGCTTTGTTTCTCTGCTCCAAAGCAGGCCATTTCAACCACCCTACTACTAATGCCCCTTTCCTCAGCAGCCAGGAGCCCTTGGAAGCAATTACCTATAGTGGCAGTAAACCTTAACATCTTCATTGTGCTTAAGACATCCAAACATAACAAATGCCCACAGGTGAGCAGGTTGCCACATGAAAAAATAAAATTCCTCTTGCTTTTGCTCAAACTACCTGTGTTCCTATGACTAACCACCAGGCACATGTAAGAAGGATGGCCACCAGGCTTTGTGGTCTCCTAAGGCAAGTAGTTTCGGCTGAGGCTAGTTATCAATTCTAACCCACACTCCAGAAAGTGTAATCAGTCTTGGACCTCATCTGAAACTCTCCTTAGGCCATGGCTCTAGCAGAGTAGTCTTAGTCCCTAGAAAGCATGGTTGGTACTTTCTAAACCTAAGAATTCTTTACAGGTACTCTTCTAAGAGTTTCACCAACTCTGAGGTCCACTGTTGAAGTCAATATAATGGGAAAGCTTGGTAAAAATGTACCAGACTCCTAAGAAGTAGAAGACTATATAGTCTTGATCCTATCCTTCCAAAGCCTTAAAAATTCTCTTCCTTCTCACTCTTACAGACTGAGAAAGAGTCAGCATCCATGGATACATATAACATTCATAGAAAAAACTGCAACACTATTTGGAAGATACTACCTCTATTCTCACACTTAAATAATTACTAAAGGATTTTACGAACTGCTTTGCTTTTCATCACCTTCAAGGCAAATTCAGCTAGCTCTGAAGTTTAAAAAGCTTTAGCTGTGACTTCAGTTACACTGGCAATTTTGCATTAAGGCAGGTAAGTATCAAATGGTTCATCCTGTCCCCTTAAAGAGTTATTTTTAGAGCAAAGACAGTAATTCCCTGTATCACATCACATAGATGCAAAGGATGTCTGTCATCTATGAGAAAAACATTTGTTCAACAATCTTCCACTACTTCAGATATCAGTCTTCAGCTAGCATTTGTGGGGAATACTAACCCATAATTTACACACCTTCTATCTTCAGCACACTTCACCATAAAACCAAGTGGATGTCACAGTGACATATAGACACCGTAAAATAAAATTCACCTTACACAGTTTCAGCCATGATTTCTGAATGTGGAGAGCAATTAAATGAACAGAATAACAGCTAACTAACGATAACACACCGGTAATGGTCTTTCCACAGAACAAGGTAGTTCAGTATCAGCAGACAGGGAGAAAAACTGTCAAGAAATCAACTCCACCTTTACTTTCTCCACAGATGTCATGGAAAAAGGAAAGAGGGAGAAAGAGATATTTGATATAAATCCTTCTAAGAGTTTTCTCTTACTACTTACTCCTTGTACAGGTAACTACATTCCTCTAATTAAAAAAAAAAAAAAAGTTCCATCTAAGCTTTCCAAACTTTAATGGACTTCTCTCCTGAGAATCTGTCAGGTCCCTGCAAGACAGTTAACTAATTTCACCAGAGGATGGCAGCCTATTGTTACCAATGGAAGGAAAAGTAATTCCAAAAAATAAATAACAAAGACTGTTACTGCACAGTAACAGCCCAGCAAATGTCACAAATACTGATTACACAGAGCAGCCTATTTGAGTACTAAAGTACTACTTGAGTAATTCTGAAGACGCAGTTCTATGTCCTGCTCTATACCATTAACTTGCCAAAGGATGAAAAAACCTCATCTCTCCAAGTCTTCTCCCTTCCTCTTTCCCCAATATCAGCCTACTGTTGTAGTACTTTAAAACATAGCCATACAAAGAACATCACAGAAAATACATTGGTAGACAAATAACAAACTTAAGACACAGGAAGTTTAACGTATACAAGATACTATCAAATCATTATTTTAACTTGCATCATCAGCTGCTATGGCAAGTGCATACCATGTAAATGAAAATGTACATTCAATAAAAGAGCATTTCCTTCATAACCAT